GTAGTGAATATCTACAGGTTGTCATCCATGTTTTGTCCTAAACTGTCCTTTTTAACCAGATTCACTGCCCTATAGTCAAAGAAATTTCCACAGCACCATGCTGCCACTACCATGGGTTTGTTTAGTGGGGTGTCCAGTGTTGACATTCATCCACACACAGCAATCTTGCATGCAGGCCTTAAGGTTGAAGTTTGTTCTTATCTTTCCAGAAAATCCTAATTTGCACAGTGTGCACAGCTGGTAGAGATTCTCTGTCATCCAGCTCATAGTCATTACAAAAAAAGTAAAAAAAAAAACAAACCACTGGACTTTGTTTTAAAAGTTTGAAGCCATTCATGTTAGGAAAGAAAAAACAACCTTAAAAAGAGGGGGTGGAAAAAGCTACGACGCAGTGATAGAGAAGATTCCTTCCCGCTATCATCCCAACCTCCATCTACTATATGCAGGGGACCAAAACATCTCGCCTGGTCAGCCAGGACAACGAGGACCCTTTTAATATTCTGCATTTTTTATTTTATTTATTTTTTGCTTTGATTCGGTTTTATTTTCCTATATTTTAATAATGTACAGCACTTTGTATTGTCTTTGTACTGAATTGTGCTAGACAATTACATTTGCCTTGCCTTGCCTTGCCTAACGACCCTTTTTAGAGGAATGGGCCTGTATCAGGTATTGCAGGCCAATAACAACCTTAACGACTCCCCATTACCAAGGGTTGGAGCTGTTTTTTTCGGTTTTATTTGTATGTTTTCTAAGCCATAACAAGGCTGTTGTTGGGCTACTCTATAAAAGCCTGGAACTCAACCATAATCCAGACATTTTGAATTGAGAAAGTTCCTGGATGAGAAGCGAAATGTCTTCAAACTTGGAAAATAAAGTCCAGTGGTTTTATTTTCTAACTTTTTAATTTGACTTATTCAAAATTAGTGTTTTTTAATTGATCTTTTAATGCTTTCGGCTTTAAATGGTTAATTTCTTCCTGCCCTGCCAGCTGTGCTCCATGGTTTTTATGATGATGATTGATCATTAATGTTCTCCACCAAGCCCCTGTTATAATGAGATAAGTTGTTTGTACTGACTTTTTTTGGGAGGTGCCGTTCAATTGTTTAATAAAGTTGCATTACATACTTTAACATTTGAATTCTATTAAAACATTAAAATCATGTACAACATTTCTTGCACTTGAAAAATAATCAGATTATTATTATTATCAGTTTTTCACATAAAGCAAAATGAAATCTGATCTGCCAGCATATAAAAACAGAGGTATGAACACTTTTTAAAACAAAATGTGCGGTTGGTGTTTAATTTTCCAGAGTAAAGTTGATTTCATGTTCAATGCCTTGGATGAAGTTATTGTTGCTATCTTTCCAGACCCCTACGCCATTGTGTCGTTCCTCCATCAGTCTCAGCGGACAGTGACCGTCCGTAACACCCTCAATCCCACCTGGGATCAGACGCTTATCTTCTACGAGGTGGAGATTTTTGGAGACCCCGAGGCAACCATCGCGAATCCTCCTGAAATTGTGGTGGAGCTTTATGATGAGGACTCATATGTGAGTATTTAAACTCTTTCTATTAATCCTTTGCCTCCATATCTCTTGTCATTTCTATGTTAGTTTCCCTTACAGAACTAAAATGCTGGAGTCAACGTTTAGCATGGCTGTGTTGTTTTATTGTTGTCCAGGGAGCAGATGAGTTCATGGGCCGCTGTGTGTGCCAGCCCTCCCTGACTCCCTCGCCACGACTCGCCTGGTTCCCGATTCGCAGAGGGAGCTCCAGCGCCGGCGAGCTACTGGCTGCCTTCGAGCTCATACGTAGAGAAAAGGTCAAAGGTTTACCCATAAACGTCAACACTTTTTTTTTTTTCAAACGTGTTTCTCTTTCTGGGGTTTGCCATACAAACTAACTGACATTAATATATATTAATATAGTGGTAGGTTTGACAAAAAATCTGAATATTTAATTTAAATACAAATATGTGAGCATTTACCGAGTGATGGAAAACATCTTGCATCTCGGAAGAAGAATGTAAAACCTGTTTGTCTCTTGTTGAGTCTTGTTTTATAAATGTTATGTAAGACTTTTCTATATTATTTATCATATTTATTTAATGCAATGTATAGTGAACCATTCCCACTGCCTCAAAACCCTTATAATTACCAGAGGTTCTGTCAGCACCCCTGGAAGGAAAATGTTTTAAAATAAGTGTTTATTCCAATAACATAATCTCACATGGAACATTTAAAAAAATATATAAATGTATTAAATTTAATTAAGGAAATGGTAAGATGGATAAAATTAGCGCAGTATAAGATTTTTTTAAAAGTCTTTTTGCTATTTTCTAAATTCAAATACATTTAAGGACTTAATAATTATTCTTTCTACACATTCTGCATCTGTAAACTTATCAGTATGTACAGAAAAAACATGCATAAAAACAACATTTAAACATTTTGATAATTGGGATTAAGCTCCTTTTCTGGCAACGTTTATTAAAACCTTACATGGTTTCACTGTAATACCATATGAGTTTATCTGGGGACTGTGTCTATTCAGTGAGCGCATAGAACAGGATGTGCTACAGGATCACCCAGCAAAACGCTGAAGCTGGTTTCAGCCTCAAACTCACAAGTTAATAGATCAATGTCCAACTCACTGTAAAACCTAAAATTCAGTGTACTATAATACTTTAAGTAGACTGAACGGAAAATCTTAACTTGTTGTTTATACTTATCTTGAATAAGGAGCTACTGGACAAATATCCTTTATAATTGAATAGATTTAATTTGAGTCCACGCAAAAAAGTCAAGTGTTTGAAAGTTGTGTGACCTTGTTCAGATCGACATCTGCATTGGATTGACTATTTGACAGTTGGTGTGGCCAATGCTTCAATGCCATAAATTCGGTTGTTGTTACAGTGTCTGTTCAATGATGAGTAAAAATGAAGCAGCACCTGCTGATTCATTTTTACTGCTTGTAAACTAGGGGTGGGTATTGGCAAAGAAGTCATGATTCGATTCAAATCACAATTCACATGCCACGATGCGATTCTATCATGATGCATCATGATACTTGAAATATTGCGATGCATTGCGATATTTTCACTGAACACTGTAAGAAAAAGATACAGCCATTACCAGTGGCTGACTGGCTGTGTGTGATCTGGATAGTGTCTTCAATTGATACATAACTGAAAGCAACTGAATTCATACATAGCTGTATTTATTGAAATGACTTTTGGAGGTGTTGCCATGTAAACAAATACTGGACAAAAATATTACCATTACTGGCGTGGACACACTGACAAAAAGATCTTAGGATTCATCAAACTTAAAATAACAAAATTAGGATAATCAGTGCCGTTTACATGGCCTTAGTGGTCTCATAGTGTCCTCCATGTTTTATTTCATATGACTCGTCGCAGTATCCCACGGCCGGAAATGCTAGTGACACAAGGCAGCGGGCGTCAACACATCCGCATCGACATCTGCTGGACTGGAAGTTGTATTCCACTTGTTTTGGCTGATGTGCACCAACCATTCATGTATTTTATTTGTTCATTTTTTTAAATTAAGAATCGATTCTTGCCATCAAGAATCGATGCAGTAGATCACAAGAATTAGAATAGTGATGCATCGTCATGGCGATTATTTTGCACACCCTTATTGTAAACATTAAGACCCAACGCGCTTCAAGAGCATTTTTGATGTTCCTGAAGCGCATCCAGTAAAGTGTATACAGACGTGTCAAATGCTTCTGCTGCTCTTGTGTTCAATAGCAGGAAGCGGCTTTGCTAAATTTGCTGTGATAAGCTGGTAAAAAGTAGTCTCAATATATTTTTAAGTGAGAAAGTAAAGTTAAAAACATTGTCTTTGCAGTCAGTTCATCAAGATTACGATCCTGCCTTAACATGTTATTGTGGGAGCTCAGACACCCACATACTGCATCAACAGCTGCATGCCTGTCTCCCTGTCAGCTCCCAGATCAGCAGCTCTGATTGGTTGATGTGGCACGTCAAGCAGCAAAAGTTCAATTTGTACAACTCCAGATCTGGTGCTTGTGAAGCACATCATGCGTGTCAGATGTTTATAAGCTCGTGAGGCGCTGCTTCAGCTGCTCAGGTGTGTTAAGATGCACTGCTCCTGCTGCTCAAGATGCACTGCAGGACATTTAATGCTCCTCGATGTGTTTCAGCCATTGACTTTGCATGTAAAATGGCTGCTTCTGCTGCCCATAGTGCGTCTAGTGTGAATGTAGCAGGAGAGTCAGAGTCAGATCTGCGAGTCACACTGTTCAATGCACATTATAATAACCCCATTGTCTTTGATTGTGTATTTTGACAGTGGAATAATATCTCCTATGCTTATTGTTCCAGTAGAATTAGCTATTACTGAGTTAACTAGAAAACAAAGTTTGTGAATCATTGAAGACCTAAATTGGGCGGATCTTTTAAGTTAGCGGGGCTGAACAGACATGCTACGGTCTAAATTAAGCAACTGCATATTTTTTGGTGAAANCAGATCGACATCTGCGTCTAATTGACTATTTGACAGTAGGTGTGGCCAATGCTTCAATGCCATAAATTCGGTTGTTGTTACAGTGTCTGTTCAATTATGAGTAATTCTATTTTCACACTGCACTCGATTTTAGCAGCAAAAAGTGCCTGCTACTTCATTTTAGCTGTTTGTACACATTAAGGTCCAACGCGCTTCAAGAGCATCTTTAATGTTCCTGAAGCGCATCCAGTAAAGTGTTAACAGATGCGTCAAATGCTTCTGCTGCTCTTGTGTTCAATAGCAGGAAGCTGCTTTGCTATATTTGCTGTGATACGTTCGTAAAAAGTAGTCTCAATATATTTTTAAGAGAAACCTCAAAACATTGTCTTTGCAGTCAGTTAATCAAGATTACGATCCTGCCTTAAAATGTATTGTGGGAGCTCCGACACCCACATACTGGCGGTGCGCCGTCACTGGGAATCCCCAGCAGCAGCTGCCTAAGGCCAGGTCGCCTCTTGGGTGGTTTAGTTCTCTGCATCAACAGTGGCGTGCTTGTCTACCTGCCAGCTGCCAGATCAGCAGCTCTGATTGGTTGATGTGGCGCGTTGAGCAGCAAAAGTTCTATTTTTACAACTCACAACATCTGCTGCTTGTGAAGCACATCATGCACGTCGGATGTTTATAAGCTCATGAGGTGCTGCTTCAGCTGCTCAGGTGTGTCAAGATGCGCTGCTCCTGCTGCTCGAGACTCACTGCAGGACTTTTTGTTGCTCCTCGATGTGCTTCAGCCATTGACTTTGCATGTAAAATGGCTGCTTCTGCCGTTCATAGTGCATCCAGGGTGAATGTAGCATGAGAGTTAGAGTCAGATCTGCTGGTCACATGGTTCACTGCACATTATATTAACCCCTTTGTCTTTGATTGTGTATTTTGACAGTGGAATAATATCTCCTATGCTTATTGTTCCAGTAGGATTAGCTATTACTCAGTAAAATGGAAAACAAAGTTTGTGAATCATTGAAGACCTAAATTGGGCGGATCTTTTAAGTTAGCGGGGCTGAACAGACATGCTACGGTCTAAATTAAGCAACTGCATATTTTTTGGTGAAAGTAATTCAAGAGATTTATCTGCATAATGTAGCAGTTCTTTTGGAATTGGCTTTAATTATTTGTTTAGGGTGACCTGAACACACATAAGATGGAAACTGATTATCTTTAATTTAAATAGATTTATATTCAAAATCAAAATATTTTACAAACCTTTAAGTTCACAAGTTTTTGTGGTACTTCCTTACATAACAAAATTGATTTGATCGACTCCTATTTTTTGGGGTAATCGATTTCCAATGAAAAAAATTAGATTTTAGTGTACTTACTCGGGTTGGTAATGTAGTCTTAACAAGTCTAAAAGCTAAAAAGCACCGAAACCAAACCTCTACCAGTCATCTTTCTCTTTCTAAATGGTCCTCTCTTATTGCATCTACAGCCTGCAGTTCACCACCTTCCAGGTCTAGAGGTCAGTTTATGTTTAAATCATTGTAATTTAAATATCATTATTATTCTGATTTATTTACTGTATTTATGCATTTACTGTTATATTGTTCATCTATGTGCAATAAAGCATTATTTTCTTAAACACAGGGCGATGTCATCAGTTCAACCCATGCGCTGGATGAGGTAAAACCACACAATTTGAACAGAGTTGATGAAAATAAGGGATGATAATAAGCTTTAAAAAAGACCTAAACAGAAAAAAATCTCTGTATTAAATATTAAAGCCATTAGCCAGAAATTGTAGCTTAAAAAAAAAAACCCATTACAGTAATCCCCGCTTCTTAAATCAATCAACTCAGCCTGATGGTTGTGATTTAATACAAGACAGTTATCATGTTTTATGTGTATATTAAGTTTGTTTCTTCCTATTCTGCTTTGTTTTTTTCTTTTCTTCATTTTGGATTCCTCAGTTGATGTTTCCAGGATTCCTCTCTGAAAACCTGCAGCAATGGGTACATTTTAAAAACATACACATGAACCATGAAACCAACCTACAGTCATCGTGTTTCATGTCTTTAATTCCTTAGATAACTCAGCTGGACAAGCAGTCATGCAAGCATGTTATTCATCATCTTTAGACCCTCTGTTTCTCTTACTAACTTGTTTCATGTTTACAAAGGTGAATGGAAGCCTAAAGAGGTTATGTTAACATTTTAGGGAAAAAAAAGCATTGTTTCAGTTTGTAATTTGACATAAATATTGCACATTATTTAAAGGTTGTCTTTAGCCTTCCACAAAACCTTTAAATTGATGTTTTTCTTGTTTTACATTTTGAGAGCTTTCTTTATAAGGAAATTGTCAAACTAAAAGATTTACTGTTTGTGTTTAAAAACTTACAATTACCTAAACCTAGTTGTCTCAGAACCTCTTTATTTGAGTGTTAAAAACAACTTTAACAGCCTTGCATAATTTCAAAAAGCATGACTCACTGTGTGATGTAGCTCAAACTAGTTTTTTAATGTTTTTTTTTTGTTTTTTTGGGGGTTTTGACCTGCTGCTTTCTTTTGCTTTGGCAGCCAGAGGAGACGGACCTTCCCTATCCACCTCCTCAGAGGGAGCCCAATGTCTTCATGATTCCCCAGGGCATCAAACCTGTTCTGCAAAGAACTGCTATTGAGGTGCAGCAGTAACAAAAGCTAATGCCAGTTTGTGTTTTTTTTTTTTTTTTTTTCGCACAAATGTAAAAAAAAATTATCTTTGAAAGAAAAATGTTTGAAGTTTTTCTTTAAACATTATTTACTGATGTGCTGGGAAACTGAAAAATAAGCACTTTAATGATAATACATGCAGCTTTTGCAGGGGTTTTAAAGTGGAGTCATGTGGGTTAACATTTAGCAGTCAATATCCTAAATGCAGTCAGCAGCAGTGAGGGGACTTAATTTTAAAAAGTTAAGAAAAACAAGGAAAAAATATTACTAATAGGTCAGTGTAAAGTTTAAAGCTAATAAACCTGAAGTAACAGTACCTCAGAGTCAGTCTAATTCTAGCTTAAATAAAAACCCTTTGCAGATCACTTTTTCCTTATGCAGACAAGGAAATTTATGAAGATAGTGAGCCCTCTGTGTGCTTTCAGAGCATGCAGCTTTTTCCTTTTTAAGGGAAAAAGGTTTTGAGTTTGAATTACTGTAAAGTCAGATTTTTTTATTCTATTCTCCTTCACTCTTTAAACTGAATACTTATAGCTTTTCCACATAAAGCCATAAAAAAGATCAATAAGTAGGGCCAATTAAAGCCCCCACTCATCTCCAATTAAGTAATTCTGTTGGAATCTGCAAATAATTGGACGTCCAGCCTGGGTGAAGAAATAAACTCTATTCCCCTTTTCCTCTGTTAGATCTTAGCGTGGGGCGTTCGAAACCTCAAGAGTTTCCAGCTGTCCAGTGTTACGTCTCCAAGCCTGCAGGTGGAGTGTGGAGGCACCATGGTGCAGAGCTGCGTCATCCGCAGTGTGAAGAAGAAGCCAAACTTTGACATCAATACGCTCATCCTTGATGTGGTGAGAGCACGGGGACGAACCTAACCATACACAAACACAGAGTGTAATCAGAGCACAGACCCACAGCTTTCATGGTTAATGAGACCTCTGCTGTGATGTGGTTTGCTTCAGTCATTTATCTTCATCAGTAAAGCCACAATAATGGCACCAGAGGGAAGGACTCTAGGCTTCCCTCCCTTTTTCCATGGAAAGTTCAAATGTTTTAGTAGAAAAGTAAAAGCTAGACTCTGAGATGTTTCCAGCTCTGCTGTGGAGCTATTTTAACTTCATAAAGTTCCTACAGATGTAGAATTGAGGACTACGCAGTGGCTACTAACATATACGGTAGATTAATATTCAACATAACTATAGGGTGGAGTATTTTGACATGCACACTGTGGAAATTCAAATACCTACCAGATGACTTGAAATTGAATGCAGCTGAAAAATAAGCTCACCATTCTTGTGATAGAACAGACATAGGTCACAGATTGAGGCTTATTTTAGAGAAGGGAAAAATATAATGGCTTTTGAACAGGTGTTTAAACAGTAGTGCCAGAGCTGCGCTTTTTCATTAAAATTACTGCAAAATCAAAAGATGTTAAAGAAGAGGAAAGAGATAAAAGCATCAGAAGACTGAAAACGATTCACTGAATTTAGATAACATAACTGTTGAAGTGAACTGAAGTCTTAGTTCACGGGAACAAGGTTGACAATAAAATGATTTAGTTTCCTCCAAGTGGAGTAAAAAAAAGAGTTTTTTTTAGAGAGGTGAAGAAATTACTATTAGGTTGCACAGCTTTTTGTACGGCTATATTTTTTTTTATCCTGACAAAGTCAATCTAGATAGGAGCAGTGAATCTGGGTAAAAAATAACACATTATATGTTTTATAGAAACCCTAAATGGTATATTGAATCCAGATGTTCAATTTGTTTTATCTAGCGTTTTTAATGTGTAATTTATAGATTGTTGGTTCTAGTGCCCATATTATCTGTGTCAGTTCTCACCACCATTAGTTTGGGAATGTGTGTGTTAATGACTTCCTGTACAAAAGTGCATTGAGGTTCTGGACTTGATAAAGGTTATAAAGGTAGTTATACAGAAGTATAAACCATTTACTAAAAAATTGTGTCAAAAATAATTTATATCCTTCTTTATAATCTGTGAACAAATCTCTCCTGCCATTAGAGCAATTACGCCTTCCTATTTATAGCTTTTTGATTCTTTCCAAGGGTATTTTTGACTTGATATTTTGATTTATCTTTGTTGATGAGCTCCAAGACTTTCAGTTTTGTGGGAACTCTTGTCATCCCTTGATCTTCATCTCCTTCCACAGATTCTCAGCTTGGATACAAGTCAGGACTCACAAAGTAGAATAGCATGTTTGCTAAATTAAACAACTGCTTAAAGCCTAAATCCCAGGGTTTTAAGTAATCTTAATCTATGCATCCTGCATAGGGTTTGCTGAATTGAAAAAAACAACAACATATTTCTATAGCATTAGGAGATATACTGAGGGAAATCAGTAAATTATGAGATTAAGCTTTCTGACCGTAATTAAAATCACAGCGTTTTTTTTCAAGGGTTTAAGCTGAACAGTCAGGAATCGTTGTAATTTCATAAAAATAAAACAAGCAAAAAAAAAACAACAAAAAAACAGTTGAAAGCTACAAAATAAAATTTCAATCAGAAAATGGATGGGTTTGTTAATTGTTAATGTTGTTCCAGCTTGTGAATCATATGGTTAAAAGGGTGGATTCAAGTGTCTCACTTTCGACCACTATTCTATTGAAACTGACTCATTTTCTAACATTTCTTAAAAGTAAATATATATATATATATATATATATATATATATATATATATATA